ATGCTGCTTCCGGTGGTTTCGGTTTAGGATTTAGAGCTGCTCTTCCGAAAATGCCATCATTCAGGGTTAGAATTTTATACAATTTTTACCGATTGGCTTAATTTAGATCATTTTTTTTTTTATGCAAAGAATTTTTAAAAATTTATATTAATTGTATTTTTTTTTTTTTTTTTTTTTTTTTTTAGCGTAAATTAAAAGTTTCACCGCCAACTCGAATGGATGAGGAAGATTCTCATCAATCTGATGCAAAAAACAAAGAAATGGATTCAGATCAAGAAGAAATGGTTAAATTATCAGGTAACTATAAAAGCACAAGTTGTTTTTTAATTTTTTTGTTTTCGGTAAAAAAATATTTTATTTTTTTAAAATTTATGTTATTTAAACTTATCGCATGAATTTGTTATGCAAACACAAAAAAAAATTTACATTTCAGATTCCGAGAGTCAAAGTCAGGATGTACCGAGTAATGTAATGAGAAAGAGAAATACGAAAATTAGGGAAAGTTCCAGTGAATCCAGTGAATTTAGCGACAGCAGTGATTCGTTCTCCGACATTTCAAATACGGAGAGTGATGATTCCAGCGATGAAGAAGACAGATTAGAAATGAATGCCGAAGAATACAGGAATGAATTTCTCGATGCTATCGATATGGAAGACTTAGAAAAGTTGGCAAAATATTTATTTATTACAAATTTTTTTTGTCGTAAAAAATATTTTTTAACGGGGGAAAAATTTTTTTTTTTTTTTGCAGTATGAGATCAAAGACTCCGGAAGCTCGCGCTACTCCGATTCCGATGGAAATAGTCAGTGAAGATGAGTCGGAAGATTTATCTCAACCTCCTAAAACGCCTGATATACATCTTTCCGATACGGAAGACGTACCTCAAACTCCAAGTCCGCGGCTCAAGAGTAAAAAGAGTTCGGCAATGGAAGCTTTGGCCGCACTTGGATTGGACGAATTCGTCGGTGAAATAAAAATCAAAGAACGAAAAGAAAATAAAAAGGAAAAATTATCCGGTTTCGCTGGCATCGATAGAAAATTGGACGATTCAAGAAGTGATGTGAATACCGAAAAGAAATCCATTCAAAATAAAAACGCTGATAAAAATAATTACAAAGACGTTACTGTTAACGATCATAAAAGTGAAAAATTTAACGATAGAACTAACGAATTAAATGACAAAAGAAAAAGACAAAAAATGGAAATCATCAACGGTGATCATTATAGTGAAAAAGTTAGTGATAGTTTATTAGTTGATAATGTTAGTAAGTACGGTTCGGTGAAACTCGGAAAGGACGAAGCATTGGAAATAGACGTGGAAGATGAACCATCCAGATCGAGTCCGGAATCCCAAATACAAATGGAACACTCGTATTCGCTCCCACGGGAAAGAGATCCAAGCAGTTCCAATTCTCCTGCGAGCGAAAGCGAAATCAAAAAGAAACAAGAAGCTTTCACGTTGGATCACGATTACACGACCAAATCCAAATCTCCGCTCACTCCAAAATTAGACGATAATAAATTTGGTAAAACGACGGTGAAGGAAATAAAAAAATCGTCGGAGAAATTGATATCGCACTTATTGGATACTTACCTCAAACCGGAAAAAGTCACGCCGGTTAAATACAAAGAAAGGAATTTAATTGAAGAAATGACTGTACTATACGAATTTCTAACAAAAGGTTAGTTTTTAAAAAAAATAAGTTTTCATCATCGATGAGAAAATGTCAAAGTAAATTAAAATGTTTTTTTTTTTTTTTAGGTATCGATGCCGAAGACATTGGTTACCTGAAAAGAAGTTACGACTCCATGTTAGCCGACGAAAGTCAGGCGTATTGGTTAAATGATACTCATTGGGTTGATCACCCGGTAACGGATTTGTCCAGCGGCGTACCTTCAAAAAAAGCTCGCGTTCATTCCACCGGCTCAGCAAGAACTCAAGGATATTATAAAATAGATGCTGTGGAAAAAATGCGACACAAGGTAAGTGTCACTCGTTCAATCAAAAATTTTAAGACGTCGTTTTTTTTCCCCCCCGCGTGACTCTCTCTCTTTTAATTACGTACCTCCTATCATTATTTTTTTTTTTCAAAAAGCATCATTACAATAAAACCGTGAATCAGCAAAATGGTGGAACTGCTCACGGTATCAGGGGAGTAGCCGAATTAGTCAAAGGTGTTAATGCAGCATCGAGAGAGGCGAGAAGCAATCAAAGGCGATTGCTGACAGCTTTTGGAACTGCCACAGATAGTGATCTATTAAAATTCAATCAATTAAAAGTAATAATAAAAATATTTAATGTATATTATATTATATTAAATTAAATATATGTTATATATAATGAAAAATAAAATTTGGTGATTACAGTTCCGTAAAAAACAATTGAAATTTTCTAAATCGGACATTCACGATTGGGGTTTGTTTGCAATGGAACCGATAGCAGCCGACGAAATGGTTATTGAATATGTTGGACAAATGGTGAGACCTTTCCTAGCGGATTTCCGGGAAAAGGAATACGAAAAAAGAGGAATCGGAAGTTCTTATTTATTTCGTATCGATTTGGAAACGATAATCGATGCGACAAAATGTGGAAATTTGGCAAGGTTTATAAATCACAGTTGTAATGTGAGTTTCTTTTATTTTTTTTTTTCTAAAACTAATATAACGGATTAAAATGTAATGATCGATTGATTGATTGATTGATTGATTGTTTCAGCCGAATTGTTACGCAAAAATAATAACGATAGAAGGACAGAAAAAAATTGTAATTTATTCTAAAAAAGATATAAAAGTAGATGAAGAAATCACGTACGATTATAAATTTCCCATTGAGGAAGAAAAAATTCCGTGTTTATGTGGTGCAGCTCAGTGTAAAGGTTATCTCAATTAAATTAATTTTTGTAATATTTTTTATTTTTTGTATAAAAAAAAAAAAATTATGTTATTGTGTTCGTTCGTAATACGTTTTGTAATATATATAGTATATAATTTGAATCTGTTTTCTACTTTATATATATATTTGTAGTAATTTTTTTTTTTTTTTTTTTTTGTTAAAACTAGTTGTAAAATATAATTATTATTATTATTATTATACGGCGTGAAAAGAAAGTTTGTGAATTTTAAAAATTCAAAATATAATTAAAAAATTGCCTTTTTTTTCTGTTTTTTTTTTTTTTTTTTTTTTTTAATTATGGTCATTAAATACATTTAAAAAAGAAAAAAGAAAAATTGGAAATAATGTATAAAATTTTACTAATTAAAGTAAAGTTATTTAAATGGTTGAATTTCTATTGAATTTTTTAATAATTTTCCTTTTTTTTTTTTTTTTATTCTCTAATACATAATGATAGTTAATATATATTTGAATTTAATTTAAAATAAATAAATAAAATGATAATTTCTAATAATAATAATAGTAAAGAATTTTTTTTTTCTAAAACAAAGGGCGCATGTTTGATTTTTTTTTTTTTTTTAATCAACAAAGTTGTAGAAAGCTTGCGTAAAATCGCGCACGTCCATCGTGAAAATTCAACTCACACGAAGAAAAAAATAAAATAAATTTAAAAAAAAAAAAAATATATAAAATTAAAAAGTTAATCGAATGTAGTATAAAAAAAAAAAATAATAATAATTCGGTAATTAAGAAAATATGATTTGAAATAAGTTATGATTATTGTTATGCAAAAAAAAAAAATTGAAAAAGAGGAAAACACTTGGAAAATATTATTTACCCGGGTTTGTATTATCGATCTCGAATTTTTATATAAATGTATATATATATATGTAAAAGTAAAAAAAAAAATTAAGATAATTTACGATAAAATTTTTCTTTTTTTTATTATCCTGTGAAAATGTTTAAAATTTTTACAAAATAACAAATTAAAAATATTTCATTTTATTATTGAACTCGGACAAAAATATAATCTCGTTAAAATTTTTTTTTTTTTTTTTGGATAAATTAATTAAATTGGGGCTATAAATTAATTTTTATTACAGGTAAAAACCGTTAATTTTATTTAAAAGAATTTGTTAAGGAAAAATAATAAACCTGGAGGACCATTTGGTACGTGTCCTTGAACAAAATCAAGAACTTGTTAATCTAAATACAGATCTACAAAAACAAGTACATCATTTAAAACATGTAAGTGTGAGAGAGAGAGAGAGAGATATGAAAAAATATTTTTTCGTTTCCTTTTTTTCGTTTCCTTTTTTTCGTTTCCTTTTTTTATTTTAGCGGTTTTTTTTTTCTTTCACATCATAGGTAACGGTTAGCAATGATGTACGAGATAGAATCGGTGCTCTCGGATTTGGTCCCACAGATTCTTTGGATTCAATTTTAAAGGTAAGAAGAAAATTTTGTGAAAATTTATGATCGAATGAAATGAAGTACGATCGTTTAGTCGTGATAATATTTCGTTATTAAATTAGCAAATGAGAGATGCATCCGAAAAGAGAAAAGAATTGGAACAATTAAGAACGGAAACGTTGAAACAATTACGTGAAAAACAATTAGCCGTTAAAAATGAAACAAATTTTTCGGAAAAAGCTAAAGCCATTGAAACAATCGAAGCATTGCAATCGAAAATCAGGGAACTTGAAAAAAAAACGGAATTACAAAACGTTAAACACGAAGAACTTATGATAGAAATGGCGGCCATTAAAAAAGCACAAAGTAAGATAAGATAAGATAATTTTTTAATTTGCTTATTTTTTTCCTTTTTTTTCATTAAAAATATGATTACCATTTACTTTTTTTCATTTATTTATTTATTTTTAGGTATTAAATTTGTTGCTAATCCAACAACTGGTCAGTTACAATTAAAACCTGCATGTAGGCCATTAAGCCATCAAGAAGTTCAAACATCACCTGATTCAAATCCAGGAAGTCCAGGTAAGTTATGTTGAGAAATATTTTTTTTTATTTTTACAAACTATTATATCTCTACGCACATATAAATTTATTAAATAATCTATTGATTTTGCTTATTAGGGATATAATAATTAGATTCTATTAATTAACCATAACACACTTAACCTATCTATATGATCTTAATAGAAGAACATTATGAGTTATTAGAATTTGCATGATATAAACATTTACATAAAATCAAAGAGTTTTATTAATAAATAAATAATCATTATGATTATCTTTTACTTTACTCTTATTTATTTAACACATGTGAACTTTATAAATTATTTAAATTTGTTGAGAGAAAAGAAAAAACAATATCCAACAACTCATTATACTTACCCCCCCGTTGAGATTTGTGTAGTTGAAAACTTTGTTTGTCATAAAGATAATATTAAATTACTAAACTAAAACTTTTTATATATTAAAAATAAGATTTTATCAAAAACATTTTCATTTATTTTTACTTTGTGTCAAATTTACATATATTAAATATTGATTTTATTATGAGTTGTTTATTTTTAATAATTCAAATGAGTAAATATATTTTTCTCTTTCTTTCATTATTAAACATGTCTCCCCCCTTCTCCCCAAATTTAAAATAGTTTAATTGAAAATAGATTTTATATTTATGCTATTATTATTAAATGATGTCATATATAGAATGAGAAAATGTCAAAATATCAAATAAAACTCTTTGATTATTATTATTTTTTATAATTTAATTAATATAATTTATAAAATATAAACAATTTTTTTTTTTTTTATGAGATAGTTAGTTATATATATTACAAAAATAGAAAATACAAATGAAATTGAGGAAAAATTATTTAAAAGGGAAAATTTTCCATAAAAAAAAAAAAAAAAAAAAAAAAAAAACGAATGTCAATAAGAGGTTTTTTGTAAAAAATATTTGAGAAAAAATATGAGAAAAGTAAGGAAAATTTTTTAATAATGATAATAATAAGGGAAAATTACTTACTTATTTCAAAAAAAAAAAAAAAAAAAACCTTAAAAAATAATTTTATTTAATTAACTAATTCCCGGGGAATATTATAAGAAAAATAATTTTTAATTCCGTAAAAAAAAAAAAAAAAAAAAAAGGAAAAATTTGCTTTCAGCTATTTTTTTTTTTTTTGCGCTTCTTTTATTTATTTTTAATTATTTATTTATTTATTTTTTTTTTTTTAAATTTTACAAAGAGAATTTTCCAACATCAAATTAAATTTTTCTTCTTTTTCTTTTTCTCTTTTATTTTATTTCAACAAATTAATTTTTTAGTTTAGTTTTTTTTTTTTTTTTTTTTTTTTTAATAAAGCCTGTGAAGTAATGAAAAGCTTTTTAAAAAAAATTAATAACAAAGGTTTGGTTTGGTTTTTTATATAAAGTAATTACTAAAATAATAATAATAATAATAATAAGGAAATGGAATTTCATTATTTTGTTTTTTAAATGAATTATTATTATTATTATTATTATTATTAAAATTAAAAAAAGGGAATAAGAATGAAAAAATATTAAATTATATTCAAAGAGTCACTAGAATGAGTAAAAAATTTAAATTAAAGTTTCTTTCATGTAATAAATAAAATTTTTAAATATTAATCCACTGGAAAATTATTTATTTTTTCTTAAGGGAAAATGAATTTTGGGGGGGCGGGGAGGGGGGTGGAGGGTTTGATTAAATTTACAAAAGAACTTTTTTTTTAAAACTTGTTTTTTGATGTATTCTCTTTGATGATGAAAAAGAAAATGAATAATTAAAGTGTATTTGTGTATTTGTTAATTAGATACCCACATCAATTTTTTTTATTTTATTTTCATGCATTAATTTTTCAAATATAACAAAAAAGTAGATGATTATTATTATTATTATTATTATTACTTTTTTTTACATAATAGTTTTTTTTTTCCCCAGTTAGAAAGTTTTTTATAGCATCGTTTATTATATTAGTTTTCTTTTTTTTTTTTTTTTTTTTACAATTGAAAAATTGTAGTGAACAATTTACCTTAACCTCGTTTAAAGTTTTTCAATGACAACCAAAAAAAATGTATAATAAGATGTTAAATTTTTTTTTTAAATACCAAACCTTGTTAATTAATTTATTTTTTTGAAAAATATTATATATTTATATTGTTCGGTAGTGTTAGTAACAATTAACGCATTTGTTTTTCTATAGATTTGGATAATCAAAAATTAGACTGCATGAATTCGTTTAATAAATTGGAACCGTACACTTTCGACAGCTTTTATTCAGCTTTACAGCCGATATATCCTACCGGTAAGCTCTGACCTCCTTGCACTCATAAATATTTACATATATATATATATATAAAGCATGAAGTACCCCTGTCCAATATTACAAAACATAATTAATTGTATTCGTTGTATACACACCTAATAATAATTTATACCTTTTTATTATTATTTTTTTATGTCTCACTTATTATTATTTCATATAAATGTATACAAAAAGGAATTTATAACCCTATAATTCTATTTTTTATCTATTTTCTTTTAGTTATTAGTTTCTATTTACTACTCTATATGCTTATTAAATGTTGTTGCTCTTCAATCTTTTTTAACCTCTTTTTTTTATAATTAAAAGTAAGTCTTTACATAATCATAAATTAATACTATGTTTAAGAAAGCCATTTTTTTATTTAAGGTTCAATCATAATTAATATTATTATGGCTTTCCTAAACCATTATTATGTTTTTTAACTGTGTGTTTTTGAAGTATAACAACAACAAAAAAAAAAAAGGAAATAATAATTATTTGTTCATGCATTTTTTTGGCCATTTGTTTTTTTAGGTTACCGCGCCAACGCGTATTCCCAGCGCGTCCCGATTGTGCCTTCTTATCCCTCCCGTGTCCCGACCGCCCCCCTTTTCAATCACAATCAATCGCAATCAGGTTCGCATTGGCATAAATCAAATTTAACAAGGCATAGATCTCTATCAGATTTTACCGAGCATGAAAATTCATATAATTATCCTTGGTTAGAATTTGCGACTCCTCAACAAAATTTACCATTGTGGAATGAAAATTTTCCCACATCGACCAGATTCGACACGGCTTACACGGTTCCATCATATCAGAGCAGCCTTTATTCATATACGACTCCCCTAACGCAATCATCATCCCTTGCACGTAGCGTTTCGCAGCAGAATTTACCCGCCAAATTTAATTCACTATCAAATGCGTTTGATTCGCAAATAAGAAATTTATGTATGGGAATCGAAAAAACATTTAATTATAATAACAATAATAATACTAATAATAGTAGTAGTAATAATAATAATAACAATAGTAATAATAATAATAATTATTATTGGATTCCCAAAAATACAACAACAACAACAACAAATATAAATACAGATTATGGGTCGAACAGTTTAAAAACCGAATTGCAAGGATTAAATTTAAAAGGTTTAGATTATTTTTGTAAAAATAATTTGATGGATGGTTGTAATTCAGAAAATATTCAATGGCCGAAAACCCCGAGTTCGAGTTCGGAATCGACGACGACAACCACATCCGAATTAGGAGTTAGAGCGTATAAAAAAAATTTAAAAAAAACCGTTACTCAAATTTCAGGAAACCCGAAAAATTTAGAAAAATGGCCAAAATCGTTAGAAACTTTACCAAAAACCCCTACTGACATTCGTTCAAAGTCGGTTTTGAATTTAGATAATAGTAATTTATTATCAAATTACCCTGTTTTTCCTTGTGATCCGACGGGGCCAACGACAGAATTAAATAGAACATCGGGAAAGATGAATTCATCAACTTCCTGTCACGGATACGCTCACAAATCAACCGATAGAAGTAAGTCCTTTTCTATATATATATATTCCGTATTTATTTATTCCTATTTATAATATTATTCAAATAATAATAATAATAATTTTTACCGTGTTAGTTTTTATATAAATTTATTCGTAGTGTTAAAAAAAAAAAATTGATTGAAGAATGACAGTTTTTAATATGTACCAAAGTATTAGGTGCTTAGGATGGTAATAATCCTCGAGATCGATTGAATCCTTTCTTTTTACACTACTATTGCTTCTTCATAAACGTTTTTTTTTTTTTTGTTAGCACTTGAATAAACTGTGTCACCATCACAATGTTCTGCTGTAATTTAAACAAAAAAAAAAAAAAAATTCCAGCATGATTAGTATAAAAAAAAAAAAAAAAAAATTATTAGGTTTAGTATTTATAAGCATAACAATAAATTTTGTTTTTTCTGTTTAATTTTTGTGTGTGACGTAAATGTTTTACAATAGGGATGAAAAATATTATAGACATTTTTTTCGTTCAGAAAGTCAAAAAAAAAAAAAAACACTAAAAATGATTTTAATTTAATTTTTAAAAAAAAAGTAGAATAAAATATCGTAGAGTATTTAGTTTTACTTTTGTTAATTTAGCAACAGAGAGGCCACAGCTAGGTCATATAGCACCGCGACAACTTCCAGCAGATTCAGCTGAAATAGACAGAATAATGGCAAAAATCGAACAAGATAATCGAGTGTTAGCTGAATTAGATAAAACAAGAGCAACAGTCGGAAGTAAGTGTTATTAAAAAAATTTTCTTTTTTTTTTTTATTAAAAGTTTCAGGTATAGGAAACAATGACTGAATTATATTAAAAAAAAAAAAAAAAAAAAAAAATTCCCCATTTTGTTTTGACTCTTTTTTTTTGTTTTCCCCACCCCCCCCCTCTCTCTTACAAAAAATTTTTAGAATCTCATTCACGCCTTTTATTGATAAATATAATTTTGTAGGACTTGAAGGGATACTGTCGGGAGGCAGAAATCGCCTCCTCCCAAAAGCAGGAAATCGAGCAGTTCACTGGAATCTATCAAGTACAAGATCAAAAGAATCTGATATCTCGAAACGTTGTGAGTTCTATTCTCTCAACGAATTACTAATCTAAGTAGTTTAGTTAGACCAAGACATGCTATTTTTAAAAAAAAAAAAAAAATTAGTTTCTATTTTTTTGCCTGATAAACTTTTTTTTTTTTTTTTTTAGTGCCATTGTTTAAAATAATAATAATAATAATAACGAATATTTACATATATATATTCTCAAAATTTTCAACTTTTTTATTATTATAATAATTCTTTTTTTGTAAAGGCACCGATAAAATCTCAGTACAAGTTTCCCCCCCCTCCCCCTCTCCCCAATTTAAGAGTCCCATACAATTTAGTTATCCGATTGTACATTTAAAATAAAAACTTTTCTTTCATAATTTATGTAACTCAAATATTTATATGCATGCTTTCATCAACTGATTTATAGTTTAAAAAAAAAAAAAATCAATTCATTTTTATAACCATAAATTTATTTACTATAATAAATTTACATAATATTTTATTTACATAATAAATGCAAATAATTAATAAAAAGTAGTTATAATTCAGTTCATTTGCACAATTTTTTCTTTTCTTTTTTTTTACAATTTATTAGATGAGGACGAATAAGTCACTTTTTTTTCTAGAAAAACCTCTAAATATATATATACAAATTTTTTTATAATAATAATAATAAATATTTGTAATAACTAACATTGTTTTTTGTTTGTTTGTTTTTACGAAGAAAAAAAAATTATTAATTTTTAGGTTTACCGCTAGGTACTACAGATCTCACGAGACAAGCAGGTTTAACATCTTTAGGTGCTGTAACGGGTGTTACGGGTGTCGGTGGAAATTTTTTACCCGGTAGTAGTTCTACAATGCCATTAGGATTAGGTGGAAACATATCAAATATTGGAAATTCATTTGCATTACCTGGAGTACCCCAAACGAACGTGTTACCTATGAGAAATTATTGCACAAGTGTGAAAAGAATGATGCCACTCATTCCAACAGCAGCTCCGTTTGATATCGAAGGTATCAAAATGAAATTAATTATTTTTTATTATTATTATTTTTTTTTTATTAGTTATTAGAACCTGATAAACTTTTACAGGAACCATGGTTGGTCTCACTCCAGCTGAACAAGCTCAACTTCAACAATTAGTTCAACATCAACCGGCAACTGATAATTCTGGTCTTCCAATACCCGACATGTTGGACATACCCGGAAAGGGAAGATGTTATGTTTATATTGCTAAATATTCCTATGATCCTTTTCAACAATCTTTGAACGAAAATCCAGAAGCTGAACTTTCGATTAACGCCGGTGATTATTTATTAGTCTGGGGAAACATTGACGAAGTGAGTAACAATAAAAAAAAAATCATAAATTTTTTTTTTTTTTTTTTTTTTATTGGATTCTGCAGTCATCCATCATAATTTTCTTTTTTAACAGGATGGATTTTGCGATGGTGAATTATTAGACGGTAGAAGAGGTTTAGTACCATCTAATTTTATACAAAAACTAGTCGGTGATGATTTATTAGAATTTCATCAGTCTGTAGTTTTGAATTTGAGAGATGTCGATGATTGCAACTCGACAACCATTCCTCAAGATATAGATATGGCTTCTCAAAATCCAGATTTTATTGGTAAGAAAAAAGCATCATCACAAATTTAACACAATTTTTTTTTATAGGAATGTAACATTAAAAACATTTTTTTTTCGTTTTAGGTGAAGGAGTTTATCGCAGAACTGATGGATCAACATATTTAGATTTGGAAGCTGAAATGCTGTTGGAAGATGAAGATCCGAACCAATACATGTACAACGAGCCACCTGGTATGTATTTATTATTAGGATTATTTGGACAAATTTTTATTGTTGGTAATTAATAATAATTTATTTAAATAATTTTCATTTAGAATTTTTAATTTTTTAGACAAAAACATTTAACGTTTTAATTTTTGATTTTGCTTAATATCATTTAATAATTTTTTAATTACGTTTAATGCATCACCCGTAACATTTTTGTTTGTTGCATCAAAATGGCACCGCTCATTTATTTTGCTTGATCATTTTCATTAATTAAATATAATATTAAAAAAAAAAAAACGCAATAATAACAACAATTGTTAGTCTAATTGCTTTTTCATACAACACCGCTTATATAAAAGTTCAATTTTTATATATTATAATAAATATTAATTTTTATTTTATATTAGTCATATTAGTCGGGTATGTGGTAAATTTTTATAAATTAGCATGGCGGAAAGGTTTTTTTTTCCCCCTCCCTCTTTTTTTTTATATATTAATCAGTGTATGAGTGTGTATAATAGTTAAAGAGTAGGGAATAAAATAATAACGCATGGTACAGCTGATCTCTTCTTCTCGGTGCTAGTCCCGGCACCCAAGCAGCTTACGCTCGAACGTCAACTAAACAAAAGCGTCCTTATCGGATGGAACCATCCGGATTCTCCAAGTCCAGCACCTATCGATAGTTATCACGTATACGTTGATGGAGTTCTTAAAACAACAATCAAAGCAAGCGAAAGAACGAGAGCTTTAGTTGAAGGAGTGGATTCCAGTCGGGTAAGTTAAAAATATTATTAAAAAGTTTATTGTAAAATTCCCTAATTTTCCTTATTTTTTTAACTTTTTTTTTTCTTTTAGCCTCATAGGATAAGTGTTCGGAGTGTTACGCAAAATCGAAGGACTTCCAGAGATGCAGCATGCACTATGGTTATTGGTAAAGATGTTCCTTTAGGTAAATATTATTTATTTATATTTTTCATTTTAAATGAATTTTTCGACCTCCTTGAAAATTTTGTAATGAAGTAAATTCTATTTAAAATTATAGGGCCAACTTGTGTTAAAGCATCAAATATAACGTCGACATCTGCAGTGATCTCATGGTTGCCGAGTAATAGCAATCATCAGCACGTTGTATGCGTTAACAATGTACAAGTGAGAACGGTTAAACCCGGTGTTTATAGGCATACAATAACAGGTGCATATAAAAATTTTGGACACGCCCACTTTTTTTTTTTTTTTGAAATATTCAATTAATTTAAAGATTAATTTTTTAAAAGGTTTGGCACCGAATACGATATACAGAGTGACCGTAAGAGCAAAAAATATTCGAGCCCCTCATTTCGATGAGAAATCTCAAAAACAATTGGAAAGATTTTCGTGTCACATGGATTTTAGAACGTTAAGCAAAGGTAAAGGTAAAGTATCCCTTTTTTATTATTATTATTATTTTTCAATGTTTGAAAAATGAAAAAACGACAACAAGTCCGCTGCCCAGGTAGTTTGGAGATTATTTTTGTAACCAGGTCAACCTGAAGCTCCCTGTGATGTTCAAGTTGAACCGGGACCTCAAGACGGAACGCTATTAGTTACTTGGGTACCTGTGATATCAAACGCGGCAGCTAATACAATTCCTATTACCGGTTATGCTGTTTATGCGGATGGTAAAAAAGTGACTGATGTGGATAGTCCTACGGGTTCGTTATTATTATTATTATTATTATTTAATTAATTTTTTCAATCTTCAATTAAGTTTAATCCCATACGTTTACTGTATGATAATATTGTAGGCGATCATGCTTTAATAGATATTAATAAATTAATTGGACTGAATCCGAAGCAAGTGACTGTTCGGACAAAGTCTAGAGAAGCTCAGAGTTTAGATTCTCCTGCTACAATAATACCTCAACATATGCTTCGTGGAAAACTTACTACTAAGGTAATAATTTTTTTCTTTTTAAACCGATAATAATAATAACGACTAATTTATTTTCAACTATAATTTTTTTTTTTTATATCAAGGACGGAGAAAAACAAAGATTTGGTTCTTCAGTTCCGCCACATATGCGACAAGGTCATCACAGAACAAGAATCGATCAACACGGTCAAGTAGTTATTGAACCAGAAGAAAATTTATCAGACAAAGAAATATATCCGCACATGAAAATTCCTGCCATAGGTATTTTTTTAAAATGTTTTGATTTAATAAATTTTTATTTTTAGAACGTAAAAAAGGGAAAATTACACATTTTTAGAAATAACCAAAGATTCAGCTAGTGAAGCAAATTTTAGCGAAGATGATTTTATAGATGGTAGAAAAAATCCTCGTGGGCAACGTATGGGCCCCGATCAACGTGTACAACCCATGAGAGGTCCGGATCCTTCGAGACGAATGGACAGAGGTCGTGGTGGTCCCATGTACGCTCAACAAGAAAGGTTGTTCACATCGCTTAATTTAATAAAGAGAATACTCTTTTGTTTCAAATTAAAGTTTAAATTTATTGATATTTTACGAATATTTTTTATTCCAGAGATTTATATTATGTCGAGAATCAAAGAGGCAGAGGAGGACCGATGGCCTATCGTGGAGGTCCTCCTGGAAGAGGAATGGGTGGTCCCCCGAGAGGCGTTCCACAAACAATGTCTCAAGCAGAACAAGGAATGGCATCTAATCAATCCATGCCAGGACCCGATAAAAAAATTCGATATTTTGTAGCATTATTCGATTACGATCCCACAACCATGAGCCCTAATCCAGATGCTTGCGAAGAAGAGTTGCCATTTAATGAAGGCGATTCAATTAAAGTTCGTTTTATTTATTTATTTTTATTTGAGGCAAATTTACGTCAACTAATGTAATGGTGTATGTTTAGGTTTACGGAGAAAAAGATTCAGATGGATTTTTTTGGGGAGAATGTAGAGGGAGAAAAGGTTTCGTTCCTCACAATATGGTTATGGAAGTTCAAGATTCAAAGGTCATTTTTACTAAAATTATTTTTTTTCCCCCCCCCCTTTTTATTTTTCGAATGAAAGGATATTTTATTAAATTTAAATATTTATCGCAACAGACGGCAGAAAATATTAGGGGTAATAGAGATCGATGGGGAGATATTTACGCTAATATGCCCATGAGAAAAATGGTTGCTCTGTACGATTACGATCCTCAAGAACTATCTCCAAACGTCGACGCCGAGGTAAATAAAAAAAAAAAAAAACCGTTTTTTATATACTAAAATTTAAAATAATTTCAATACTCAAATTCGCCATTTTTTTTTTTTTTTTTTCGATCAGGTTGAATTATCATTTCACACCGGTGATATAATATACGTGTATGGTGAAATGGATGACGATGGATTTTACATGGGTGAATTAGATGGAATAAGAGGTCTCGTTCCTTCTAATTTTCTCACTGACGCGCCTGATGATTACGGTGAAGGAGGTACATCGGTACAACGGGGCGGACAAAGAGGAGGAAGAGGTCACGGCCCTGGTGCAAGAGGCCCACCTCCTCCGCCCAGAAACGATCTTTCTCTTAATAGAAGAAAAGGTAGGTTTATTATTTTTTTTTTTTATTTAATTTTATTATTTATAATAAAACACTTTTGGAAAAATTTCAAAAAAAAAGAAAAAATGACTGTTTTGTTTTATTTTCTAATGTCAAACGGTCATTTTTTCGTGAGAGAAAAAATTTTTTTTTTTTTTTTTTTTTTTATTCGTATTTATGAGCAAAACTTACACGGAGGAGGTAAAAAATTTTTTTTTATTTTTTTCTAAATAAGAAATTATTAAAATATACCGGAATGTTTGTTTAAAAAAAATATAAAATGAATTACGCGACGGCGGTACACATTCCGTTTTATTTTAATAATAATAATAATACTAAATGTTTTTTAATAATTTTTATTATTATTATTATTACTAAAAACTCATAATTAAAATACCTCTTCCTTTAAAAGACTTCAATGAAACTTTTTTTTTTTTTTTTTTTTATCAAAATCTTTTATTTTCTGCTTTAAGAGCTTTTTTACAAAAAAAAAAATTTTCATTGAGTCTTGCATTAATGTAATTGATGTTTTTGTGTCTTTATCATTATTATTATTATTATTTTCTTCTTCTTAAATTATTATTATTATTATTATTATTTATTTTTTAAATGAAACTCTAAAAAAAGAAAAAAAAAATTATTATTATTATTATTCAACTATTGAATAGCCCATCGTTATTTATTATTATTATTATTATTATTATTATTATTATTATGCGTCTTATTTTTCTTATCTGTAACTATCTTTCTATCTTACTATTTGTGGGCTGTGCTTTTTATTGTCAATTTTATTTATTTATTTATTTATTTAATTTTATTTATTTTTAAATAATACGAACAATATTTAAATAAATATTTCTTTCGCTCATCGATAACGAATCAATATTTTTTAAATAAATCGATAACAAATCAATATTTTAATTAAATCGATATTACTCTATGTGATTAGTTTTTCCCTTTTTAATTAATAACGTTTGAGAATGAATATAATGTTATAATAGCCTGATACTGTTTTCGTACGAGAGTGGCCGTAAGCTAAACATACGTTAACATTTATTTAAAGTAATCGATTTAGTAGTTAATAAGAAAGAGGAGCCACTCATTTTACAATAAAAAAAACACAGAAATTCAATTTCATTAATGATGATAACGTGTTATAGTGAAAAATGACTTAGAAAAATAAGAAGAGATATTTTTTTTTTAATAATAATAATTTTAATAATTATTTATTTATTTACGTATACATATACGAAATATATACTGAACGTGTATATATACACGTGTATGTATATTAATTAAATAAAAATAATTTAAATACACATAAAAAAAAAAAAAAAAAAAAAATGTTCAAATGAATATCTTTTGCAAATACTTGGGCATGGCTGTGTCCTATTTCTCTCTCTTTGTTGCTAGATGCCTGTCCTCCTCCTCATGATTCTAGAACTTGCCGGGTGAGTAAATCATCTTCTTAACTTCTTTATCCATTATGTATAAAATAAAATAAACACACAAACACACACACACACACACACCAAACATCACTTAAAGCTTCATTTTTATTTATTTTTATTTATTTGGTTATAAACTATTAAAATAAAATCACGTGAGAAATTAATTAGGGCGATTTATATTAATTAATAATAATAATTTTTTATTATGATAGTAATAGTTGAGGTTCTTGTTACGTCACGATTACGTCACAAGAAAATTAAAGTTTTTATATAAAAGTTCGTGTTCGTTCGTGTTTTTTTTCGGGGTGGTGGAGAGTGGGGGTGGAAGGGAGTGGGAGGGTAGTAAGAAAAATTAATTATTTAAAATTTAATTTTAATATAAAAATTTAGTTTGTGACCAAGTAAAATAAAAAAAAAAAAATTTTTTTTGCTTTTAATTTTTCATGCATTATTTCAAGCTTTTAATTTTTATTTTTTAAATCGTGTGATTGTGTGTGCCTGATTTTTTTTTAGATTAAAAAAAGGTTAAGTTAAAAAACTCATTAAAATTGTACCGTTTATTTTTGATTTAATAACAATTAATAATAATAATAATTAATTAATATTATTGGGTTGGTAAAAAAAAAAGGTAATTACGAATTTTTCGAAACTCTGAATTTATGGTATGATTTCGTGGTAGCAGCAGCAGCAGCAGCTCAAAGTAGACTCTATGTCTTTGTAATATCACCAAAATGATGACAGTACCTTTTTTGGTGCCTGTTTCCTTTGACGAGGATCTTTTCCTCAAAATGTTGTCATAGACAACCCACCTTTTATCTCTGGTAGCCATTCTTTCAAAAAAGGGTCATTCGTGTCATTGCGTTTAAGAAAGATATCGCAAAGACCAAGTCGCCTCGTTCACTCACACTCCCCAGGGGGTATGCATTCAGCTTCTTTTGGTACCCAAGACACCACAGACGGTTTTCGACGCACTTATGTAACACATCTAGCTTCTCTGCAATGTCCCTTGTCGAACTATACCGATCATTAACAATTACAGCCATTATTTGGTCATCATCATCGACCTTTAATGAAAGCCCAGAGCGCTCCTCTTTTTTCAAGAAAAATCTCCAGAACGGAATTTCGCAAACCAGTTTTGATACGACCGTTCCATTAAGGCTTCATCCCCCTACACGTCCAACAACTTTTCATTGTCTTGTGAAGCATTAACACCCTTTCAAAAAAGCAAAATGTCGAGGAAATGCTCGATTCGGCTCCCCATGTTTAAATGTCTTCTGCTCGCATCCAAATTAAGAGTTCTATGAAATTTTGGTACTGAATGTTACAGAAGGAACCAAATAATAAGGTATCAAAAGTTCTTCCTGTCGGTACGCAAAAAGGTACTCAAAAATATGGACAAACTATCTCTCGGTGAAAAATCCGCAATTACTTAGTTGCCAACCCAATACCAATTTTGCTCAGGTTTTTTTTTTTCTTCACGCTTTTGCAAACGCTTTTAATTCCGATGCTAAATTTTTTTTTGGCGTTTTTTTTAAAGCACTCCCCTCCCCCCTCAATCACTAATAATAATAATATTAATAACTTTGAAAAAAAAAAAAACAAACGGTACAATTAAAATGAAAACCTTTAGTTTTTATCATGTATTTTAAACTCATATTATTAATTAATAAATAATGGTATTGCTTGATGATTTTTTTTTCATTTAGATTTATTATTATTATTATTATTATTATTATCATTTTTTGTAAAGCATGTTAAATTAATTAATAATAATAATAAAATTCACGGAATTTAATACGTAAATCATTTTTTTTTAAATACAAAATCTCGATTACGTGGTTCAATATCACAATAACATAACAATAGAAAATTTTCATTTAGTTAATAATTAATTAATTAAAATTTTTAATTGATTTCATTCGTTGTGTACCCCCTCCCCCCATTTTTTTTTTTTTAAATAAATAAAAACGAAGAAAGAAAATAGAAAGAGAAAGAAAGAAAAAAAGTTGCCTTAGTTAATAAATTAAATGTTTAAATTACGTCATCATAATTTATTTATTTATTGTTTTTTTTTTTTTTTTCATTCGAATCAATGAATTATTTTATTAATAATAATAAAAAAATTAACGTTTTTCCAAAAATTTTTTTTATTCTTTAGGATGGAATGGGGATGGGGAGGGGCCTGGGCCCAGGAACGTTCGATCCTCGAGGGGACCTCAGGAGAGGTGGTAGAACACGTGGGAGTCCACATCGTGATCCGTCACATTCAAACATCGACGGTAAAAATCAAAATCCAACAAATTTTTATTCAGGTATAATATTTATTCGAAAAAAAAAAAATTTTCTTTTTTTTTTTGAAAGAGATAAAAAAAAAAAAAAAAAAAATTTTTTTTAATATTCAGAGAGCCAACAACAACAACAACAACAACTACAACAACATCAGCAACATCAACAACAACAACAACAACAACACGTGCAACAGCAGGGTAATCAACAAATTCATACGCAACAACAATCTTATCAACAAATGCATCATCAACCCCAAAAACCTCCCCAACAGCAAAAACCACTCAAAGGAATTCCGGCTGTTGTACCTGATTTTGTCATACCTAATAATAAAGAATCACCAACTCAACCTCAAACGTCGAGCACTTTCCTTCCTCAGGTACTACGAAGTTTAAACCGTGAGATTTTATTATTATTATTATTATTATTATTATTAAAAACCGGAAATTGTTTTTTTTAGGCACCCAACATAATGGGAAAATTAAGCGAATTAACATCTTCCGGTTCGGGAGCTGTTGAAGCAGGAGCGGATCTTCTTTCAAAAGGAAAAGAACTTATTTTTATGAAGTTTGGACTCGGAGGAAAATAATAATAATTGTTTACATATATTTTTTTGTTTAAACAATTAATTTTACGCTTATTATTATTATTATTATTATTTAACTCGTTTTAATGTTATTCGCATTTGTAGATTTTCTTCTCATAATAATGATAATTAATTGCTGTTGAAAACAACACACAAACACACACAACAACAAAAAATGTTTTTTGTTTTTTCTTTTTGGACGCAGGAAACTTTCAGCTTTGTCTTGTTCCTTTTCGAATCTCCCTCACCCCCCCCCCAAAAAAAAAAAAAAAAAACTTGTTGCTCTCTCTTTCTCTTTCTTTTACAAATATTTCCAAATTTTTATTATTATTATTTCGAATATGGTGAGGTTTTTAGGTTTTGAAATTATTTTTTAAACTGCCTTTTGTATACATTTAAAAAACGTTAATTTATTAATAATAATAATGATAATGATAAATGAATTGTTGATGATTATCAAATGATCACGCTTTTATAATAATAATAATAATAATAATAATAATTCAAAATTTTATATATATATATAAATATATATAGATTCTTGTAATTGAAATTGTTAAATGGTTTTTTTTTTTTTTTTTTAAATTGCTTGAGTGATACGTGCCCTAAAATTTTAATATCAACAACAAACAAAACCTTAAAAAAGCTTTTTACAATAATAATAATAATAATAATTTATTGATAATATATATAAATAAATAAATATAAATAATTTGTAAAGAAAAAAAAAAAAAAAAGAAATTTTTTGCACTGTTTTTTTATTATTAGTTTTATTTATATATATATATACATATACATATATTGTATTAGTCATTTTTTCATTATTTTGTTTGTTTGTTTGTTTGTTTGTTTTTGTTGTTATTTTTTTTTATTTTGTTATATCGTTAATAAAATGTTGAAGGTTTTTTAAGGTGTAAGAAAGGTTTTGATATAATTTTAAAAACAAAAAAACAATTGATTTTTCAACACAAAAGTTTATTTAAAACATAAATTTATTAACTTGATCCGGTTAATTTTTTTTGTATAATAATAATAATTATTATTATTATTATCGTTTTTTATTGTTTAATTATTAAATGTAAGCAGGTAATTTTAAACGGGGCCAATTAAATTATTTTTCAGGAAACAGGAAATAATTGCCCAAAAATTTTTTGTGGAGGATGCTATATATAGATGATTCCTTTTTTATTCTTTTTCAAATTAATTTATTTAAAATAATACTTTCTTACGCCTTAAATTGATAAATAAGTGTATTAAAAAAAAAAAAAACAAAAAACAAAAACATGTTTTTGAATGTTTTTATTTACAAAAATTAAAAAAAAAACATATTAAATGGATATCGAAACATAATCATAATAAATAAATTTTAAGTTCATAATAAATAAAAAAAAAAACATATTCATCATGCTAATAAATTTTATCTTCTTTAATCAGTGAATTGTTAATGCCATGTTTGCAATGTATATTTATTATTTTCATCTGTTTTTAAAAAAAAATAAATAAAAAAAAATTATTATTATTAAAGTTTTTTTTTTTCATTTTTATATTTAAATAATACATCGGGAGACGACTTTTGGCTTCACCCAGATTCGGGATGGGTGCATGGCTCCCCTGGGCAAGGGAGACATCCTCGAGGAGGCGGTGATCGCAGCGCGCTGTCTTCTATCTGGGTCGGACTTGTGCATTATTTTCAACGGTCGGCGGGAGCATCTCGGGGTCCCGACCGAGTGTTTTCGTCGGCCAACAGGGTTATTAGGGACCTTGTCCCCGTGAGCGGCAGTTCGATTCCCGCTTTCCCCGACCGCAGTAGAGAGTCAGACTTGTACCTTACCAACCCCAAAAAAGTGGGGGACTCGGCACTTTTCTTTTAGGATTCATCATCATCCGACTCCGGGAAAACGGGGATGCGAGCGAAAGGACCACGGGGGGATCTTTTCGCGCAGAGTCAACTCGTCTCCGGAAACTCGCCATCCTCGGGAGTGGTTCACTCAAGCGACGATGCGACTGCGACGATGGCTCCGGCGAGCGACGACGTCGGGGGGGCCGCATGGGTTGGATTCTCGCACTTTGGATCTGCAAGAGTCAATTGGACGGTGGCAGGGACGAAACGTAGACGAGTGCGGGGGACGTTTCGTCGGTCCGGCAACTTCGAAACCTCTCGCCGCTTCCGGAAGCTCACTTCATCTCTGCGGAGGAGACGGGAACGACGTGGCAGGTCGCGACCGTCTCCCGAGGCACGAGAGAGGAAAGGATTCGTCTCGGTACTCCGAGTCGGGCTCCGGATCTTTTACTCGATTCTGTTGGGGGGAGATTCGTCCCGGCTTCCGTCTGGAGATCGCCGAGGGGGGGAACGGGGATTAATGTTTCTCTGTTTCAGTAGCGACCACGATCGAGTCGCTCGGTCCGGAAACTCGCGTCTCCTGCGACAGAGGCGCGAACGAACGTGGCAGGTCGCGACCGTCTCTATAAAGGTAATTTCGAAAGAAGAGGAACTATTCTTCTTCGGACGTAAGGTAAAGTGAAGGTGAGGACACGGCGGCGGCGAGCGCAAACCCGTCGTCGTCGGGCGGACACACTCACACACACACTTCTTTTCAAACTTTTCTTCTCGAGGGTCGGAGACCCCGGTCGATTTTTCTTTTGTCTACCTTTTTAATTCCCACTACCTTTAGGGGAGATTCGATTAAAAGTAACTCTTCACTTTTAATCTTTTACCCTTTTCAGGCGAAGAGGTAAGTCTAAATCCCCAGCTCCGATCGCATCCTCAGGAAACAGGCGCGTTTCCCATCCAATCCCTTCAAAGCGAGGGACCGGAGGACTGTCCCGAAAGGGAGGGCCGAACGTCCTGGGAGATGCGTTCTCATCTTCGAGGTGAAGTCGAACGAAATTAGGGCAGATCTCCCCACAAGCGATCATGTGGAACGGTTAACGTTCTGACCTACCGGAGAGGGGAGACTCAAATGTAGGT